AATACAATAATTTATATTTAGTTTAATATAAAATATTTAAAATTAGAATAAATAATACTAATCTGTGAAAGAATGTAATGAGAGATCTATACTTTTACTACAACACTACGCTTCAATGTTACAGCTGAACTTGCAAAGTATTATTTCTGACGTTTCACTTCCGCTGCGCGCCGACTAATCTAACGTTAAATGACCTATTAGTCTTGTTACTTGGAAATTGTAGATCAGACAATCGGTATGTTCGAATACTAACGCACATCTCAGATCGCGAATCGTATTCCATGCGAACAATTAGAAAGTTTCCAACAGACGATGCAATTATACGCACGAATACCTGTTTTTCCCATTCAAGTTTTTCCGCTGCAGTCTGTCTCCTCTCAATTTATACAAGCTTTAGATTATATCTAAAGCTCTTTTTGTGTGATATTTGGTTTATTAAGATTGTGATTTTATATATACATGTTAATATTACGAAAATATAATCAACTATAAATTATAGAGAATATCTTTTTAAATTAAATTTAAATGAGATTGCAAGTTTATTTCTATCAATTTTTTTATATAATTGCTAAAATTATATCACAAGAGATTATTCGAGCATATATATCGAAATGTGGCTTATATTAATCTTTTAGAAGGCCGAAATAAATTTGTAACTGGCGATGGTATCGTCGAATTTATCGGACGCAATTTACGAGACATTCTGTATGTGTTAATGCAGAGATACCGCGCGGTACACTTTAATAATATCTCGACGCGCTCGCGCTCTTATGTCTCGCGTTATCACGCGAGATAACGCACGGTGACAAAGGCTGAGTGTGGTCTCACAGTTACCGGAGTAAAACGCGCGCGGAGCCGGAACGGAGTGAGACGCGCGTAACGTGACGCTACGCGGACACGCACGCATCAAACGGAGAGACTTGCGCGTCGCGAGTGGAAATGCGTGTGCCACGCGCGTCCGAGAATCTCGTTCTTTTCTTCGCGCGTCAGTGTCTCGGGTGACGTTCTCAAGAACGAGTGAAACGATACGAGCGATGTACGAGACGGATCGGCTGATGACAAGCTCTCATTTTCTGGGTCACGGACGGAGATCGTCCGGTTTACTTAGTCGTTGTTTATTCTGCGAGCGTGTCGTTCGTTGATTCGTGAAATCCTCTCGATCGGAAGCCCCCGCCTATATGATGAATGCTATCGTCGAGATTATGCCGTCGAAATGAAGAAGTTCTTTTGCAAGTTGTAAGTTTCGGTGTATATATATATACCGAGAGATGTGTGCTTTGAATCCGAAAGCCGTGAGCGAAGGAATGCGTGATATCAGCATTTGATATATCAATATTTGATCATTTCTATCTGACCAATCCGCATACGTGTTTTTCTTTGATATTAAGCTCTGCAGCTGAGACACTTGAATATTTTTAAATTGTATAAAATGCTTCATTATAATCTCGTTAGTAAAGAATATTTATATAAATTGTATTTTAAAGAAAAAAAAAATATATATATATATAAAAGAAACACACAAAGGATTTTTTAAAAATATTTTCTAAAAAAAATATATTTTGGTGAAGAGAGAAAAGATATTTAGACGTGTGTATGTGTGTGTGTGCTTTTTTTCTCTAGACCGATTTTTAGGAAATGCTTCCACACTGCCTACTATTTTCTGGATTATCCGCCGCGGAATGTTCCCACTCTTCAAGAATGGGAAAACAGCGAGCAAGACGGCGAGAGGACCGCCGTGGCCGTCCAGCAATTCGTTCAGCATGTCGCGAGTCTTCACGCCGACGGGGACATCGGTTTCAGTAAAGAATACGAGCTCATACAATCCGAAACCGGGGACTACACCGTGGAGAATTCTCAATTCGCCGAGAATAAGGCCAAGAACAGATACTTGAATATACTCGCATGTAAGTAGCTGTCGTAATATTTACAAATGAAAGGAAACATCTTAATATAGAACTGGTAATTCTTCATAATTTTCTATTCCTCGCGAGAATGTTCCATTACTTTTCTGAAGGATATTTCTATTCACCATCGTCAAGTCAATATTACGACTGATTTATTTTATTGTTAGTTCAGTCTGACAATCAGTGGCTGACCTCTTCATTGATTCCATCTAACTGGGGGCATTGTGACGCATCATTATCAATTCTTTCTGGTGATAAAAAAAAAATTAAAAGAAATTAAAATTTAAATAAACTTGTCGTGTTTAATGGAATAACAATAATCGATTCAACAAAAAGTGGAATGATTCGGAAATATTACGTACAGTCACGAAATTCCTGTTAATGGAAAATACTTCCTCTATTATATTATGCACGGAAAGGAGTAATAAGCTTTCGTCAAGTTAAAGCAACGTCTCGGTATAAGAGATATCTCGGCTTAAATCATACGTTGATTTTTACATCGATTAAATTGATAAGTGGATAATTATATAACGCGTTTTTAAAACTCATATTTTTAGACCAATCTTATTGAAAATAAAATGTGAGGCATGCTTTATTAATTCAACTCGAAAAAAATAATGTCTTAATTATATATTTTTTATATTATTATCATTAGACGACCATACTCGTGTGCAATTACTCTCCTGCGGCGGTGGGCCTCCTAAAAAGGGTCAAGATTATGTTAACGCGAATTACATCGACGGGTGGCAAAAAGCGCGAGCATACATCGGTACCCAAGGTCCACTTCCGCCTACGTTCGATGGCTTTTGGCGGATGGTTTGGGAGCAACGCGTATCAATAGTCGTAATGATTACCAATCTGGTCGAACGCGGACGAGTAAGTATGACTTTGATATATCGCGTTTTTTTTTAATTATAACATACCAAAGTTGCATAATAAATAGTCACGAATAAAAGACAATTTAATTATTTATATGTAAAAATGTTCAGTTTACAATGTAACAATTAGCGAAATATATTGAGTTATTATTTTTCATTTATTTTATTATTATTATTATTATCTATTTTTATTATAGAGGAAATGTGATATGTATTGGCCCAAAGAAGGGACCGAAACATACGGTTACATTCAAGTGACTTTAATGAAGGAGGACATTATGGCGACATATACCATCCGTACTCTTCAAATCCGACATTTAAAGGTATAAATTTAAAAATAAAATACACACGCGTTTAAGACATTTTTAAGAGAAATAAATGAGAAAAGATATCATACCGTGGAATCAAATGTTAATGCGAACGCATGAACGAATTTTTATTAATAAGATCTTTTTCTGATTTTTAAGCAGATTAAAAAGAAGAAAAATGGGACCAATATGGGTGAACGTACTATATGGCAGTATCATTATACCAGCTGGCCTGATCACGGCGTACCCGATCATCCATTACCGGTTTTGAGTTTTATCCGTAAATCGTCCAACGCTAATCCGCCCGAAGCTGGACCTATCGTAGTGCATTGCAGGTAATAATCGCCGCCATAACATTTTAATAAGAAAATAAATTTTCAGTCAATAATATATTCAACTTAATACGTATTAATATATTTCTTTGCATTTGTTAGTGCCGGCGTTGGACGTACCGGAACGTACATTGTGATCGACGCCATGCTGAAGCAAGCCAAGGCCAAGGACGAAATCAACGTATTCGGTTTTCTCAAGCATATCCGTACCCAGAGAAACTTCCTGGTCCAGACGGAAGAGCAGTACATTTTTATTCACGATGCCCTGCAGGAGGCAATAGAGAGCGGCGAGACCAATATCAACTCCAACAATTTAATGAAGCACATTCAAGACATGCTGTGCCCATCGAATAATAAGACTGACGCGTGGAACAACATAGAAGCTCAATATAAGGTGACTGATTCAATTCTTGAAACTGGGTTATATATATATATATAATATATAATCACAAATATTAAATTATTAACTTAATTATTTATTAGCTGGTAACGTCGTGGAAACCTAAGGATTTCAATCTCGTGTCCGCTACCAAAGCCTGCAATATTCACAAGAATCGTAATATGGACATAATTCCCATCGAAAACGCGCGCGTCCATTTAACGCCGAAACCTGGTGTCGATGGAAGCGACTACATAAACGCGACATGGGTTTCAGGTAAATAATATAGCGTGTCTCCTCTATACAAATCTAATGTCTTATTGCAAATGAAATGACGATAAGATGTGTTATTTCTAGGTTTTCAACGCAATCGCGAGTTTATTATAACGCAGCATCCGATGGAGAACACTATAATGGAATTCTGGCAAATGATGTGGGACCACAATGCACAGACCATTGTCATGTTGACTCAATGCAACGAGGTATGCATCTTGAATAAAGTCATTAATAATTGCATAAGAGATAAAAAGAGATAATATTTTATAATAAAAAATGTTGTCTAATAGGAATATCCAGAGTTTTGGCCTATCGAAGGAAAGGATCTCGAATCCGAAACGTTCCGAGTACGACTCTGCGGAACAAAGGAGACCGTGAACGGGACTATCCTACTCGAAGTCGCGGTTCGATCGTTGCAAGATGATTACGAACTCAGCGCTAGGATTGTTCAAGCGCCGTCGAATCAGAGCGGTCTGTGGCCGCATAATAACAATCCAAAGACTTTTGTCAGTATCATCCAGGACTTTCATCGAGATTATCAGAACGGTCCTATCGTCGTAATGGACAGGTACGTTAAATTATCATTCTTATTAATAAACAGCGATGATACAACTAATTAATTGAGCTAATACAACTCATATTATTACTTCATTTCAGGTATGGCGGAGTCGAGGCTGCACTTTTTGTTCTATTGACTACCTTAAATAAACAATTGGAATTCGAGCAAAGTGCCGATGTTTACATGTTTGCGAAGCTGCTATATATGAAGCGACCCGGCGTTTTCCGTACAAAGGTAAATTTCAAGTGTATCAAATCTTTATCCAACTTTAATCATATGCGCGATAAAGGAAAAAACTTAGCCTCATAAATTATTATTCTTTGTAGGAGGATTATGTATTGCTGTACCAGTGCTTGGAATCCATGTTGTCGACGAAAGGACGCGCGGAGCCTGATTTGTACGCCATGGCAAACGGACACGTTGCCTCACTGAACGACCCGAATGAGATCAGGTCGGCTTCATCGATCCAACATATGCCACTAGATTATCCATCTAAGTCATCTGTCATTCGCGAATACGCCACCGTAGAAGTCAGTTCCGAATACCTATCCGATTACACTATTCCCATACGCGTGGATCATCCGATTGAATCGTCCAGCAGCCGTGGGAGCGAACCCTGCCTCTCCTCCCACGGCGGCAGCAATGATCATGTAGTATCACCATCGGAGAAAAGCATTGTGGTGTCACAGAGAAACATTAGCTATCATAATCATCCACAATCTGGCGTATCCGTAATGGTTGATGCTAACGGTTATATCACAAATGGCAGCATGCGTGTACCCTCCGACAATATGGAGCCTAACTGCAAGATGATGCCACAATGATGCCGGCCTATCTTCGGTTGCAGCGCACCCTCGCGAAGGTCGGCCCCGCTGTAATCGAAACTTCCTGAATCGTTGGAAGTTTAATCTTGACCTGGTAAGTATTGGCCAAATATATAAAATGTCTTGAACGGAATATACAGCAGATATGATATTAAGAGAGAAAAATCTGTTTTTCGAGCAGACTAATCTTTGCATCGCGAAGGAGATGATAGTTCTTATCCAAGGGATAGCTGAAGGATCTTCGAACGGATTTCTTAGTGTACATAGGGCTAAACGTGAATGTTAAACGTGAAGGATTATTGAATTTTGATAAGAAAAATCCGTTACCGGCGTCGTAAGAGCGGACAGTGCCAAACAAAGAGACAAAATGCCGCCGATATATGCCGAATGGGTGACATTTATCTTATCCGTCGCGTAAGTTTATGCTGTTCAATCGATATGTATATATTATATATAATTATATATAATTATTGACACACAACACACATACACGCGCGCATCTGCATAGACACATACATAAGTAAATATACGTATATATAAGTGCACGCGTACATGTTGTATAATAATATATATATGTATATGTACGGGATGTGTGTGTATATGTGTGTGTATGTGTATATGTCGAATATCCGACAGCTTCGAGTTGCCAAAGAATCATTACGATAGCTTAATTGTTAGAATGATACTACCGTGAATGAGTGTGTACATGTACATATATATATATATATATATATAATATACAATTATAATTTCTTGCAGGTGTAAACCGAGACATAAAGCCTTATAAAATAAGAAAAAAAAATCACAGTTTTATTTAAGTCTAGGTTTGTATGTACATATATATATATATATATATATATAATATACACGCGTATCTAATTATTCTATGTGTATAGTTTATTATATACGCGAGGAAATGCGTTGTCAAGACGAAATCTCTCGCATATACAGAATCACGATCGTTGCGCATAACTAAACTAATTTATAAGCATCTGCCCTCTCTCTCGTAATTCATCCATTCGATTTGGTCCAGCCCCGAGTGTTGGCCGCACGATATGCACAGCTTATCGTACTGTTACTGCCATTTAGAGAAGATATTTAACGACTTGCCGAGCGCGTTAATTGTTAATTCGTAAAATTAAGTTTGGTCGTGTCATTTTTCACGTAAGATCGCTTGACGCATATATGCGAATCAAAACAAAACTATTACATCGTATAACTACAACGTGTCAGTTAATTCGCATCATTCGAGCGGTATCCGTAAACGAACTGAACGCACAACTTCATAGAAGATTATATGGTTTTTAATAATATCTAACGTGTTAAGGAATACGAACTTTCTATGAAAAATAGCGTGAATCTTACAGATATCATAAGTCTTTTACGAAGAATATAGAAGCCGATACTATCTCTGGCGAAATTACAAAATATTGTCAACAAAAAACGCGCTGATTTACATTGTATAGCTTGTGCTTTTTTTAAATTAAAAACATGATATAATTACTTTCTTATGGTGATGACAATCGCAATACTTTAATAATTATAATTTGCCGTTATTTATATATTTTATATACAAGAGAATTGTGTGTGTGAAACAAACCAAAGTAAAACGACATTTTAAATGTATTTGCATTTTTATATTATACGTTGATATTACTATATACGAAAGCATGAACGATCACAGATTTTTGCAAGAAACTTGACTTGTTTAAATCTATCGATATTTAAATAACTGATTATGCGTGCACATATTTACAAAATAATATTTAATTTGTTTTATTCAATTTGTTTATTAATAATTAATGAACTAAGCTATCAACGAGATGAAAGATTTGACATGGAAAAATCGAAAATCGAGTCGCTCTTGTTATATTATCGCGCATATTGATTTCTAGAAGTGTCTTTATCGATTATTCGTCAACAACATGAAATACACAAATACTTTATGAAGTGTACGTTCCGTCGCTTGTGGCCTAACTCTATAGTACAAATTAGATTCTACGTTCGAACAACTATTCATTTAATTAAGTGCAAGAGACTTTCAAACCGGTTTGTTTCAACTTGCCGAAATTATATTATAATTAAGTAATAACATGATTCCAGTAATAATTATTACAAGCATTAGTCTATATTAGTATATTATATCGAGTGACATTCTTCCATTTTTAATTGATAATGTCGCAAAGAGAAAGGAAGAAAAAAATAAAATGTTTTTGCATTTCCTCACGAATATATATTTGGCAGATTTATTTTATATTACGTACTATTACGCATATTATCGCGAGGATTAAAATCGCTTTTCTGAATCGCCATCCTTTAGACAAGTTATTTTAGCAAAGTTACTGAACGAAAGGGAGAGAGCAGAGGCAATGGATGCAGAGTGCTGAAACCGAAATGTACATAAAAGAAAGAGAGAAAGAAAAGTCTCTATGTTTTGTCGATCAGCCCACTGTGATTAACTATGAGAAAATGATGCACATGCTCGTTGGAGAAGATCGCTTACCATCGATATACGTGGATATAACGTCATGATTAAGAATATTCGTATAAATATGTAAGACTGACTGTGTTGTTCGTAAAAATCAGAACGAGAATCAATTCCAGACCCGCGTTTGCTTGCGTTGGAATCGTGGCGAATCACGATCGCGAGAGCATAAGACAGAGATTTTTCGAGAATGGAATAGAACATGCGATATCACCTATTCCTTTCTCATAGAGTTACTCTTTTAAGAACTACGAAGTAGCGCCGAAACGTAACAACACGCTTGCAATGCGACTAAATGCAAGCATTTTCCAGAACGGACCGAAAATGTGAATCGATCTTCGAGATCCCGTACTAATCTTATGTACACCCGATTAAATCACAATCGAGTCTCGATTAATTATCAATTCGTAAATACGAACGGAACACCTATCGACTATTGTCTAGTTATAGAGATTACTATGTATGTAAAAAACGTGTCTTTTAATTAATGCCGCAATAATTTAAGTCATCGAAAGAAACAAAAGCGAGAAACGATATTATATACATATACACATACATACACACACAAATACATGAATAAGCTACACCGAAGAAATGCATACACACCTGAGTGACAAACAGCTCACACAAACACGGACTCGTCGCGCTAATACTTGTGTGAAAAGAAAAAAATATATATAAATATTTATGATATATGAAAATGTGGAGGGAATCGGAGAAAATAAGAGATAATTGTGGATGCGTGGCGGATGAGGAATCGCCCGGTCTTGAGATCAACGGAGACACACAAAGACAATGCCATATAGATGGAATAGTGCTCGAATTCCGTGAATGATTTGTACATCTAGCGGCAAGACCGATATCTCGTCGTGCAAAGCGAATAGAGACGCGATCTATATACTGTATTTTACGATATTACACGGTTATATATGCATGTACCTATACACGGATAACACAAAATAGACGTCTAATGAAGTATGAATGGCCGTCGAGAGACAAGGCGATCGTCGAGAGATACAGTCGCCCGTATATAATTCGGTGATAAAATAGGTGGTGTGTATAGATAAAATGTAGACTCTAGTCAACATAATATTTGTAAGATGACACACACACACATGTCTTGTTCGTTTCACACCGTTTCACACCATTAGCTCGCATCTAGTTCTCTTGGTCTGTTCGTTTCATTTTTTTTTCCTTCCGATATTAATGAGAGACAGGAAGAAAAAGACAGATGTTAACGCGTGATTGCATTTTCCATCCTTTGTCCACCGGATGATTATAAAATAGCTGTGCTGTGAGAGATATATGGGAGAGGAGAGGTGAAAACACTTATTTTTTCTTTTTATCACAAAATCTCACTTTGAAACGCGAGCTCTTATACAAGAATTGTTTCACCGATACTGATTGTGAATAATTTCGAACATCGTTCAATAGGATGAACAAAAGCAATCAAAGTCCATAGCATCCGTCGCGAAGATTCTTTTTTATACGCACGATATAATAAAGACTTGCGATTATGTAACTGTAGCATTCGTGTGGAAGAGAGGGAAATGGTCCGAGAGCTGGTTTTATATAATTATATATATATATATATATATACATATATGTACACATGTGCATATATATATGTATATGTTTGTATGTATTTTATTAAGTGAAACAGAATTGGAAACGAATCGAGCGCGAATCATGTTGGCGCGGTCAACATTCAGAATCTGTTACTTATATGAGATCTGGCGATGTATAGAAATGGATGTATTAATAGAGAATGTATATGTCGAATGCCTACTCGAAACTTCAATAGACAACTGTGAAAAATCACACTCAAGCATTTGTTCAATTGTTTCGCGTATATATATAACTTGCCGCAGTGTGTCTACGACTTTATAATTATTTGTAATGCGAATCGTCGCAGCACACATACATGAGACTCCCGTTCGAACGTACGCACTACGGCCTACACTAACTGTAAAAAAAAAAGAGAGAAGAAGCTCTTTATACATATATTCGCACACGATGTATTAACAATTCACGAACGATCCGCCGGTTTTCGTCGAAACCGGCTAACGTACGAAAGCTGTAGCGGTTCGAAAAGAAATTAGAAAGTTAGCGAGAGAGTCTCGAGGGACACACGGGGTGTCACGAATCCGCGCCATGCCCAATTAATATCCGACGAATACGATGAGAAAAACGAAGCCGATACATAAAATGACAGTCGAGACTGCCAAACGTATCTACGAACATTTCTTCTTTTCTCTTTTTCCTTAACTCTTTCGCTACGGACTACGTGGAAAGATATTTCGATGACACGTATTTTAAATATTTATATTTCAACGACATTTCCAATGTATTTTAAAACAGAATTCTATAGAGAGATTTTCTGAAATTCGATAATTAGAAAATCAAATTTTCTATCTATATATTAGAAATATATAAGTTAATAATTATATATTGGAAATATATAATTATATATTGGAAATATATAAGTTAATAATTGAGCGATCAAAGTGATCACGAGAAAAAAGTCAGTGATTTATAATTATTAAAGCGATATGTATTTCTGTTTTTATATGTAAAATGGAAAAGAGAAGAAACTATAATATTATACTTTCCTGAAAGTGTGCAAAGATAATGCAGATATCAGTTCTGTATCAGAATTGCAGTCAATGGAACATCATTATCGATAAGGTTGTGGTCTTGTACCAATAGCGAAAGAGTTAATCTCCGAGCATAGCGACCGCACTGCCTTCGATAAAATTTTTAACAAACCGATTCTGACCATTGATCGAGGATGAAAAGGATGATTTGCGTCGACGAGACGAGCGCGTGGCATATTTAAAGCGAAGCACGAATGAAAAAAATCAAACAGTTCTGTTTCTCCTGTTCCTACGACGTCACGCGAATCGTCTTCGGAATTGATGCGGCTCTCGTTATTAATTATAAATCCTTAAGCACTAACGACACACGCATTAATGAGTCACAAAGGACGCGAATGCTGGTCTATAAATGCGATTCTCATCAATTTCTATTGCTCGACGTACAGTACGTGTCTCAACGAACACACACACAGAGAAATTTTAGAGAGGTTTAAACGGATATAATGATTGCGATATCAGTCATTATGTGCGATAGTATTACTCGTTTTTTTAACTGTACGCTTCATTCGAGAAGAATTGTCCGTGCTTAAGAACATATACGTCTAATAAATAGTTTGCGAGAAATCTGCAACTGGATCAAATCAGCCAAGTTTCACTCACCAGCGAGTTCCACAGGCCGATCTGCTCACTTCAGCCGCTTCCTGAGAAAGAGACGTACGACGCGATCACCCGATGACCAATTAGTGTTAAGCTAGCACACACGCGAAATATTCACTGCATCTTATTTTATTCTTATTTTGTTTTCATTCGAACCTCTTGACAATTATTTTGAGTTTTGTATATTTGTTTCGTTTCTTTAGATCAAAATGAATCTCATTGATAATATCTACATTTTATAGAAACATTTCGTTAGTTTAACACAAGAATTATGCTTACAATTGCAATAATATTTATATAATGCATTGAAACATTTGGAATTTTTTAGAACATTAGAATCATTTTCACGTTTGTACGAAAAATAATGATTTTTTTTTCTAATTCATAATATTCTCATTGTATGAGATAATTATAAAATGTCTCTCAAGCATACGAGATGGTAAAATGTGCGAAAATTATTGTCACGATTAAACAAAAAATATGCATCTTGTATTATTAGTGAGAATTTTGCGTAAAGGTAAAAACGGTATCCCTCCCTCTCTTTCGAAACAACAATTATAATTTGTGTGCGATAATCACGATTATAGTAATACACTTCTTACTTCGATTAGCGTACGGTTTTCTTGTTATATAAACGGTAAATCAACTTTAAAACACTCCCGAAGTCATGAAATGTTAGCGGAGGATTAATGACGATTATTCGATGGATATATAAATATATTTTTGTTGAAGATTCGCAAGTAGGTGTATTTAAATGAAATATTATGCGGGAATAGATGAAGGTGTACAGATATTTCTTTCTTCCTTTTTCTGCAAAAATAAGTCTTTATTTGTAAACGAACTCTTTGGCAGTAGACACTCCAAAAGACAAACATCCAGAGATCTAAATTCGTAGAGCTGACGCTCTCGTCTGGCGATCGCATTGAAAATCTCAATGTGTGGCGATAAAATCGTAACTTACTTGACTTAATAACATTCATGCTTTGGCAATGTTTCGCTTATTGAATCTTTCGTTTTTTGGTTTTTTCTTTTCTTTATTTTTGGTTTCCATATTTGATTAAAACACTTAGACGGTGATAGTAAAATCCTTGGGCGATTTGGAGAGCGAGCTATTCGAATGGAGACCGGTCGATCGTTTTCTGTGTAATTTCAGCTTCATGTCGATGTCGCACTCGGCTTCACTGGTCTCGTGAACGTCCGTGAAGCCGCTCGGTGGCTTCAATTCCAACGTAGACAGCTCGCTGCCCCAATCGTCGTCCCTTCTCATCATTCTGAACGTGCCCGCCGGCTCCTCCAGGAGGCAGAGCGACTCGACGGATTTTCTGGTGTTCGGCGGCTCCTTCTCCAGCCTGTCGTAGGAACCAGGACGCACCGGACGACTCGGCGACGCTCCTCGCGAGTACGAATGCACTCCGGACTCCGACAGCTTCAGTACCGGTCGCAGTATACCGGGAATGCGACCGTCGATCGCGGCGTCTATCGCGCCGCGACTCCTGCGAACGATCAGTCGTCGTTTACTTATGGAAACGTATAGAATGGCGACTAATTTTGTTTAAATAATTCTTTTGTCTTTATTCGACGATCAACGGACAATATCTTTTACCTTTGCTTTTCGAGCCTCGGGAAGGTCTTCCTCTCAGAAATTGGTGACGGCTCGGTTGATGTACTTGATTCGTGCGTGTGGTACAGCACATCTGGAAAGTACGTACGCGAGACGACGTTGACGCGGTAGATAATTAGTGGCTGCGCGCTGGATTACATGATGGGCCGCGCGAGCACGCGGCCCGGACACAGAAAACCGAATACTAACTTACTATGATGAACCGGTCGCTGCACCAGGGCGAGCCGTTGCTGATTGACGGAGTTGGGTCCCGGCGAACGGGCCAGTATCGACGTCGGGCCGGAGTCGTCCAAATGATTCGACGACTCGGTACGACTGCTGGTGCCAACCTCCGTGTCGCTGTCCGAACCCAGCGTGTCGTATTCCTCCGATTCCGATTTAAACGATTTTGATTTGCGTCGCGCCCGACCTCGTACCTTCGTGTATTGGTCCACGTCGCACTACAATCGATTCGCACTGCATGAGATTCTTCGCGAAAGAAATATGAGAGCTAGGATTGACAAAATTCTTGTAGAAGACATTTCCAAATTTTTTAAATCTCAAAGTAATAAACGCGATTCTTATTATTCGATCGAAATGTTAACGGAATGCAGATCGGAAATTAATTGATTTCTGAAATATCTGCTTTAGTTAATTGAGAAAAGATATTCTTATCGATACACCGTGTATAAAATGTTAAATCTCCTCATTCTTTCTAGCTTCATTAATATATTTCAATAAATGTAATTATATATACTATGTCGTATTGCTGCAAATTGTAATTAGATAATCGATGTCCCGATTCTGATTTTAGAGTTATACGCGGTATAATCTTATTAATGCAAGGAAAGAGTAATTACTTCTATTGCATTATAACTTTGTTAATGAGATTACTTAATGGCGATGATTTTATCCGTACAGTAGCTAGAGTTTGGGAATTTTTTATCATCTCGGATGTGTCACAATCTACGACGGGGAATCGTAAGATGGATCGTTGTGAGAAATAAACGTACTTGGGCACCTTGCAGCATCGTCTCGCTGCGTTCGTAGAAGAACGCTTGTCTCATGGGATTCGCCGAAAGATTTTCCTGCTCGGGCAGATTGAAGGTGGCATACGGATAAATATCTTCCGAATACTCGGGTATTCGTTCCAGGGCGCTCACCTCGCGGCAAGGTGATTGCTGTCCCGGTTTTCTCACGGTGGCGTAGTACTGTTCCCTCTGCTCCATATTGTGTTTGTTGTCCAAAGCTGCCTGTGTTTGCGAGCTCGGATCGTTCGCACCTCCGGATCCCTCTGGATCTAGAAACGATGTATTCGTGTCGACAGATATTTATATAGAGTACAAGGTTTTCTCATATATATACATCTAATTTACAATATTATACACAGGTTTAACGTAACTTACGTTTATATGTATATAATTAATGTAACTTCTCGTGCACATTATGAATTTCTGTCGAGGTGAATGTTACAAAAGCTATAGACAGATACACCAATTAAATGGAGAGTACGGAAATGGAGATGCGTAATATCCTCTACCGAATCGGAATAATAGGCGGCATGCGAAACGACAAAGGGACTAATTTCAATAAGATCACTGCAGAAGTTAATGAGTCTTGAATAGAACCTGTAATATATATTACACAATGAATAGTAAAAAACACTATAAAGTTGATAACATAGATTCCCAAATTTCATAGCTACAAATCATTACTAACATAGAACGTAGCGCTACTAAATACATACATATTTGTTTATAATATTAGATACAAATTAATAACGTAGTTTAAATAACAAAGGCATAATTCTTTGGATAAGAAGATTAAAAAATAATAAGTATCGAAAACTGGGAATCTATAATGTGTGTGTTATAAATCAATAAATCGATACGAGAAATCAAGATTCGCTTTAGCAATTTTATGATTGTTTAATTAAACCTTTTAAATTAAATTATTTGCAATCTCCCAGTGATTGATAATTAATAGAAACTCAATATTCATCACATCATGGAAACATTATATAATTACAATACTTATAAAGTATCGTAAATATATATTGCGGTTGCAAATAAAATTTGCATATATTAAATATTATATATTATTATTAAATGAGATTCTCTTCACAAATTGAGATCCATTAATGTGAGAAGAATTCATTCTCGTAATATTTAAAAAATACTTTAAATAATTTAAAAAGAAAGCGCTTATGCATATAAGAGAATATAGCAGACGATTTATTTTTTTACTTATCGAAAATAAATTATTTTGATATAAAATATAAGAGAGGGAAAGAAAAATCCACAATGGAAAAAAAATATTAATTATACGATGAAACTTTGCTCTATAACAAATACATAAAATAGCAAAATAGCAAAACAGAATTTATCTAATGATACAAAGTAATTGTCATTACTCGCTCATTATTCAGTGTATCAATATTTCTTGAATGTTATGTAATATAGCGCGAGATGTTCTCGTTTTAGTAACAAACGACTATTTGAAGACTGCAACTCTCAACGTGATTCGTTTATGAAGTTTTTAATTAAACCAAACGCTCGCGGCGGATATCGCAAACCGCTGCTGTTGACATTGTACCTGATATCGAGAGTAGTTGACGAAAAACTAAAACATCGAGATTGTCCCACCACCTCTCTGTTCCAATTCGCGGCAGAATCGTTACAATGTGTACCAAGTGGGATACGCGAAAATAAACGGTATCCGACAGATTTTTTTTTATTTTTATTTATTTTTTTTTTTTTAATGGGAAAGCGAACCGAATTCCATAGCCGGAATCCGTATTCACTTGCTCGAAGCGTATGTTTGCGACGTAAATTGATTAGAACGGAGATCGATAGAGGCTTGTACTCACGTGTCTTGAGGCAAAAACACACCCCCGCGATCGCCAGCATGACTGCGAGAACCGAGATGACGCTGGGCGCCAAGACATGCGCGTCGAGATAGAGCGGAGTGGTCTCGTTCTCCTGTGGACGATCCTCGTGCAAATGGTTGTTTCCGTTCGGTGACAGCGTGCTGAACAGATACTCAGCCTGGGTGGAACCGGCATTGTTGTAAGCAGTCACGCGGAGCTCGTAGCTGATGCCACTCACTAGATCCATAATGGGAAATTTCGATTGTGGCGGAACATTATTGGACACTGCAACATATATTGATCAAATGTAATTAATAACTGACAAGAAAAAAAAGCATTAATACAGTAAAAGCATATAATAATAATTTCTTCTCATAAAATATTTTCTAGATATCTCTAGTTTTCAAATTAATAAATATTAAAAATAAAATTGAAATAATGAACTTGTTTACTAAACGATTATTATTGCGGTTAATATCTTATACCATGCGTACAATTATAAAAAAAAAAAAAATAAGATAATCAGCACTTTTCTGACCAAGAGAAACTTTCTAGATATCGATCTCGGAATTAATTCGGAACGATCAACGTCATGTTTTCGTGAATTATCGAGCGCTACTTCTTCACTTCGTGACTTCAACTTTCCGAAGAGTTGTAAGTTCTTACCGAGCAGCCAATCCCCGGGTTGCCTCCTATATTCCACAACGAAGTAGGTCAACGGGCAACCGCCGTCTTGCCAAGCCGCCAACTCCAGAATAACGAACGTCTGATTCGGTTTGACGAAGTGATACTTCGGCGGCGGGACGGGCTTAGAGCCGTTCGTCTTCGCTGTCTGTATGTCGCTCGCGCTACCGCTCCCGATCCTGTTGAAGGCAGCGAGCGTGAACTGGTAACGCGTGCCGCATTGCAACCCCTCGAGCAGATGCGTGCTCGCACGGCGGTCCAGCATGACCTCCTCCCATTCGGCGAATTCCCGGCGATAAGCCAGGAGGAATCCCTTAATGGGCGAGCCACCGTTGTCGCCCTGCTTCCATTGTAACTGGATGGCGTCGGTCGTCGTGCCGGTCGCCAGCAGAGTCGGCGGCGTTGGCGGTACTATGTGCGTAAAGTTTACCAATTAGAACTTGACTCGTGCCGCTCAGAGAGACGGAGCAAAATATCGCTCGATATACTACTCGCTTTCCGTGAGATATATTCCTCATTTTCTCGCGCGCGGATAAGAATTCATGGAAATTATTCTATATCGAGTTGTGTATTTCGTAACTTCGCTCTCATGTCTATGCAGAAAGTCAAAATATTTTTCAAGTCAAAATATTTTTTCGTTATTTTGTCAACGGATTAGAGAATCTAAATATAATTTCGTAATAGCATCGAGAGCAACTGTAACCAGCGAGTGGATATCTTAATGATTTCGTTTACGCAACCTACCCTGTATATGGAGCGTATACGTAATTTCGTCCGTGCCGAGCGAATTCTTCACGTGACACGAATAATTATCCTCGTGGCTTCTCTGCACGTTTCTCAGAATCAAAATATTATCGGGTCCAACGTGCGATCTGTAAAATTCGTGAAATGACGTATTTTTTATCAAGCGATTCCGCTCTACGCAATTCGTCGTTACACTTACTTTTGTAATTTCGTGTCAGCACGTCGCCACTCGACGCTCGGGCGAGGGTCGCCGACGACGAGGCAAGCCATATTAACGTCCACTCGCCACGGAACCACGATGGGTACGCCGAATGATATTATGGCAGCTGGAACTAATTAAAGTACTCTGGTTACGAGTTTCCATTTGCTATAATATCCCTTCGCAAATGCATGGATATTACGGAAAAGTCACGAATATCGCGCTTACTATCGATCGAAGAATATTTAATCATAAAGAGCTAGAGATTTTCCTCTATGCTATGGATTATCATCCGGCAAAACTGTACTTTCCCGGATATTTGATTCACATTTCACAGACGAAAGCCGTACGGTTTTCTTGGTCAACTTTGATAAAGAACTCGATTTGAAACAAAATCCCCGACGTGAAACGCCTGACAAAGTTTTACGGAGGGAGAGCAAAGAAACTTTTCGACAATACGGAACCTCAAGACCGGCTTACCGATGGTGCTAGGCTGAAATTTGACAACCGGCGTACTCGAACCCTGACCGACCTTAGTCGAGGCTGTGACCCACGCTTCGTAAGACTCGTGCAGCTTCAAGCCTGTTGCCTCGTGATGTAGGTTCTGGGCGGGCAAGGTGTTCTTGATGATCTTATCTTGGCCCTGCTCTAACATGCGAATGTAAACGGTGTACTGGGTGAGCAGCCCATTCGGTCGTCGCGGTGGCAACCAAGATATCACGACGGCGTTCTCGCCGCTCACCACCCACTTTACGCGTTCCGGAGCATCGGGAACTATTACCAGAATCACCATTTCTTCATTGGATAATTCGTAAAAAAGACCAAGTCGTAACACATTCACGGTAATGAAATATCATAATATTTAAACGAATCTTACAAATATTAGAAATCTATTTATTTTTTTAATTTTTCGAATGATTATAATTTTGATTATAATCTTTTCGAGAGACGCTTCATTTTTTAATATATACAGTGTTTCACCATATAAGAAACATTTATTTTCCAGAAAAAAAATGGGTTTTTCAACATGAAAACTATTGACCAGACTCGAGACTCGCTTAAATAGGTCTCTTTCATGAATATAAAAGATCTTTTTTTACAATGAAACATTGACTATGCGTCGAAAGTGAATTGATTCGCGTATTAGAACGTTCTAAATTGCCAGTTTACCGGTTTCCCCGGTGGTGCAGGACACGGGATTGCTCGCGACACCCTCGCCGGCCCTAGTGAAGGCGAGCACCTGCACCGTGTAGTTGGTGTACGGACTGAGAGCGTGCAAGACCGTGCTGAGGGCATGACTGATTTTCGTCTCTCTGCCGGCTTGCGAGTCCGAGGCGGCGCCGCTCGCTGCCTCGTACAGTACCTTGTATCCCTGCACGACCCCGTGAACTTTGTTGGAAGGCGGTAGTTTCCAGGTCACCTGGATGTTCTGACCATTCAGTGCGGCGCAGGCTACATTTTGCGGTGGCGCACTTGGAACTACATCAAATCGTACACCGTAAATCGCCCTGCTGTATCTCCTTCAACGTGTCGAAAAATACGGTCTCGAATTTATGTTACTAAAATGAAGTCTATCAAAACTTTTTTCGAATTTATATTCAAAGCACGATCAATCGAATCGCACGGAAAAAGTACGAAAGTATGAGAGCATGTGCGACTTTCGATTTAAAAAACTGTGGTTTAAAGTAAAATATATCCCGGAGGATAATTTATGTAGGACTCGATATAATAATGAAAACTTTAATAAAAAATTATTATTATTATCGATATTTTGTAACATAGTTCATAGTTTGTGTATCGCGGGAAAGCTCGTTTGATAAACCAATATTATTACGCAAATAATTGCCATTCAGCATTATGCATTATATATATGGTATGGAATGTTTACATCAGCGTGTGCTGTACACACGACAAACTTTAAATTATAATATTAATTTGTAATTTGGAACTTAATCTCGTCATTTGCAATTCTCAATTATATTTAATCCGTAATCAAAATGCAAAGAGGCCGCTTCAAAGCGGCACGCTGTAATTGCCTTGTTTAACGTGCCAAATATTTTCGTTAACTCGAAATGCCGCAAACTCGATAAATGAGGAAGCAAACTGAGAACTTTTCACTCACCATCTTCGAATGTGTGCGCCGTCACGGGATCGGATCCCGGGCCGTCTCCTTTGCTATTGAACGCCTTTACCACTATGCTATATTGGGTGTATTTTCGCAGACCGGTTAATCTATAATCGTGCGAACCATCCCCGTTTCCTGTGATTCCAACCCGCGTTGTGTTCGTTAATTGATCGTCGCTTCTGAAATAAAAGCATTAACCACGGTTCGTTGAAGCGAGGAGATAACGCGAAGTACGGAGGCAATCGACAGCGCTAGAATCTAAACGTTGTATCAATTACGCGAACGAAATATGTCAAGAAAAAGCTGTGAAAGTAGCTTCTAAATTATTTTCCGCGAAAAATCGCCTTTAAAAAGAAATCATTTGTTTAGATTGTATAGAGATAATATCATCCAGATGTGCTGGTTGAACGGCTACTCGTAGAGTTAAATATAAATATATCACCAGAACGCCTTTTTTTTTCTCTTATACATTCTATTATTTGAAACTTGATACTGGTCTAAGAACGGAAAAGCCTTGGCACGAAAGTCGCTGTCGCCAACTTTACCGGAAATCGTTCTTATCGTTCGCATTTATTACGTGCAGCCGTCCGATTCTAGTATAATGGAGGAACTAACAATCTCGAAATTCAATGGAATATAACTACGAAACTCGGACAAAAGATTTTAAGAATTCACGGTGAAACTGAATCGTCGTATAATCCAATTATTCCGAAATGTCACAGCGCAAACATTACCATCATATTTCATTTAATAAGTTTTTGTCACAAAACGTTTTTACATTCGTAGCAATTTTATTTTTGTTGACAAAATAAATGGATTTTACTGGGGAAAAACAAGAAATTTATAGAAGGTTTATTTTGTGAGAGAAAGGCATTTTTAAAATTTGATAAAATCCTTTACATAAATAAAGGAATCGTTCTCCCAAATTTTTCTATTTCTCGATCTTGCCTATAAATTTTGTTATTAGAAAAATTGTTATCTTGCCTCGAAATAACGCAATACACAGTAAAACTGTGTATTATAGTCACTAAACATTCTGTTTTGCAAACATTTAAATTTTCACTTGAAAAAATATTGTTGCAAACTTGATACTCTGGCTGATATATAAATTTGTCGCTTTACAAACAACTCGGTCCGTGTAAATGTGCTGAATATACGCGGTTGCGCGTTATCTATGCAAACGAACGGATCATCGCGGTCATTGTTCGAGACTTGGAGCTTGATGATGAGCGCTAAATGCCGCAAACTACCTCAGCTCAAGAGCGGTAAGCAGATAATGATACCCGAGATTGGTGTAGCCGATGATGTATCCGAGTAGTTCGCCGTTCCACAGGGATCGATCCGGCGGTTGCCACGTGATCTTGAGCTGCTGCGGGCCCAGGGGCTCCACGGAGACGTGCCTGGGCGGTCCACCGGGTACTTCGCCGTCCGTTTGCACCTGTTTCGAAAATTTCCAGACGCCACCCACGGCGCACGTGAAAAAGAAACAACAGTCCGTCTGACGTTATCGCGCGTAATGACGTTTGTGATAATGTGAAAATTTTCTTTCTGATCATGCTTTGTTTCTTTTTTTTTTGTTTGTTTGTTTGCTTTGTTTTGTTTTTCGACAATGTTTGATACTGACATGAAGGATGTCGCTTGGCGCTGATGTTCCAAGATGATTTTCCGCAAGCACTCGAAAGTGGTAGGTAGTCGCGGGTTTTAGGGGTGATACTCGAGCGACCGTGTTGTCCCCGGCTACCAGCTTCTGCGTGTTGTGCTCATGCCAAACGTCTTTCCAGCAAAAGGCAACAACGCTTAGATGGATGCAATACGATCTCTTAAGCGTAATCGCGAGTCTCGCGAGGTGAGATGTATCACCCGTGCGTGAAAATCCGGACGTTTTGACGCGCGATTACCTCACACATCTCGCTTCGAGGTAGATAAGATAAATCTATCTCTCGATTCTCCCGCGCATCTGTGGCGTGGCACGTAGTTTAATAGTTCGTAGTTGGCCGCAAAAGACGGATCGTATGTAACGAGCGAACAAATCGATCAAGCGAATGACGCTTTATTGGAGGATGAAAGCTCTCTACAGACTCGCGCAAGGGTAGCGCGAGCGATAAATATCAAACACATATGTTAATCGGATATGTGTGCCGAGTTAAAAATTAATTCGAGACTTGCTTACTCTCTCACGGCGCGCGAGCGTAATTTCAAATGCAGATTATCTCTTGTAAGTATCTTAGTTTTAACCCGTAATCAGTTGCAGCGCGCGCGATGCAATTTTCGAAAGGCTAAGTATAAATACACGTATATGAAAATTCATCCGCGATGTGTGTCAGGATTGCAATACGCGTGATTTAGATCTCGGGGAGTAAATTATTACAGCACCGAGGTCACGAATTTATCATCGTTTGACCGGCATTCTCGGAAATCTCGATCCTCGCGAGACTCGATTTTGAGTAAGAGCGATAATAATTCTCGACGGTGCTTGCCTCAAGAACATGTTTTATGCGCGTTAACACCACGACGCTTCCATGCCCCTTCGTGCGTTAAGTTCGATAATTTAACACCGGCGGGAAGACTCGAGTCGATTAGGCGTAAATGAGGACATCCAAAGTTAACGAGCGGCCAGGGCAAGGGGCGTTTCAAAGAGAAGTTTATGGCACGAAAATAGG